TCTTTGCTGGAACCAGCAGTTGACTTAATGGCTATGTCACTGGACTCCCGTGTAGTCGACCACAGTTCGAATCCCAGACCCAATGGCTTAAACTGAAGCCGGGTGCATGTGTGTGCATGCCCAAGATCCCAAGAGGAGAATGGAGGAGAAGGTATTGTGGCATGACCATCCTCCCTGGGTGGGTGTTTTCTTGCTTTCTGTCTCTCTCTGGTGAGCTCAAGCACCTTATAACAAAAATTTCTTGAAAAAGAAAGTTCTTTTTGCTCTTTTTCTTTGTGTACTTCTCAATTTATTTACTTCTCTGATTCTGGAACAATCAATACTATTTCCTTCTTCCCTCCCTCTCCCCAATAGGTTTTAGATTTTACAAACTTTTTCTTTTATTTTTTTAGAGAGGTTTTTGCTATAGGGCATGTGTGCTTGCCAGAAAGACAGAGAGACACAGAGAGACAGAAAGTGAAAAATCACCCCCCGGGGGGATGGTCACGCCGCAATCCCTTCTCCTCCATTCTCCTCTCGGGATCTTGGGCACGCACGCACATATGCCTGGCGTGAGTTTAAGCCACTGGGTCCAGGACTTGAACCGCAGTCAACTACATGGGAGTCCAGCAATATAGCCATTACACTAACTGCTGGTCCCTTTACAAACCTTTTCTGCAAAGCTCTGTATCTCTTGAGTTATCTCAGAGTACTTGCTTATGAGGACAATTGCTCCTGAATCTATCCTTAATAGACACATTTCCTTTTGTTCTTCTTCTTTTTTTTGTTTTTTTAGAAATGTAATACTGTTTATTTAACTTTAAAAAAAATATGAAGAGCTTTAAACTTTCAGGTAAACGTATGGGCCTTTTGATAATTTTTATTAGAATGGCAGAACGCTAGGTCACTATGTAAAAGACACCCTGACGCTTACACGGAGGCCACCGCAGAGTCAACGGGTCCAGCTTCCCAGTGCACGCCCTGAGCCACGGCCCCTCCGACGGTGCCCTTCCCGCAGCCTCTGCCAAGCCAGGAGCGTGGAGAGTTTGTCATGGTTGTTCTATTCTCTTTACAGACCAGAGATATGTACAGTTGATAACTCAGGATTTCTAGCCAATAACCATATAGTTAACACCACCTTACGAATTCAGGGAAACAAAAATGTCAGGAACATCTTTAAATGCCTTGTCACACCAACAGCAAAGTGCACAGAGTGAGGAGAACACGAGAGTGCCTTTTTATTTTAAAAATGTTTGGAAATATGTACAACTTTGATACAGTTTCAGGGTGCTCCGGACACCCATGGCCACTTCATGTAAACCACTGACAATTTCTAGAGCACTTTGAGAGACAACATGATCGTGATCAAATTCTGCAATTAAACTTAATGAGGGCAATAGACACGCCTCCAATGAGGTGCGATTACGGCGCCCCTCTACGCTAAGGGATTCACAAGGAGACAGAGCAGCTGTTTGTTTTTATTTGTCCTCCTCCTCCTCGTCTTCTTCATCTTCCTCTTCCGCCTTTATCCGGGCAACTTTGGCAGGACCCTTTGCGCCATTGGTGATGTAAGGCTGCTTCTCGCTGTCACTTAAGTTGTTCCACATCTCACCCAGCTTCTTTGCCACGTCTCCGATAGAGATGCCAGGGTTGGTGGATTTGATCTTCAGGCGAAACTCTGAACAGAACAGGAAGAATACAGACGGTCGCCTTTTGGGAGCATTTGGGTCCTTTTTCTTCTTGCCTCCCTTAGCCGGTCCATAATCCTTCATTTCCCGGTCATAGCGTACTTTATCCGCCTTTGCCATTTCATCAAATTTCGACTTCTCTTTCCCAGACATTGTCTTCCACCTCTCGGAGCACTTCTTAGAAAATTCAGCAAAATTGACAGGGACCTCCGGGTTTTTCTTCTTATGTTTTTCTCTGCAGGTCTGCACAAAGAAGGTATAAGCAGACATCTTGCCCTTTGGTTTCTTGGGGTCACCTTTAGCCATCCTGACTGTATTGTTCACTAGTTTCTGTTCTTCTTCACAGACTGTCTGGGAAAAGACATTTGGCCAGAGGGAGAAATAAAAATCTTCCTTTTAGGTAATTTTTTTTCTTTTCAAATTATATTTGTTTCAGCTGTAATGGCTAATTGTGATTTTAAAACCAAAACAGATTGTAAGACTAAATGCTTTAAGCATGTATTTTAAAAATAGCAGCCCTTCTTGGGACCAGCTGTTAGCATAATGGCTATGTTGCTGGACTCCCATGTAGCCGACTCGTAGTTCGAGTCTCAGACTCGGTGGCTTAAACTCATGCTGGGCCCATGTGCATGCGTGCCCAAGATCCCGAGAGGAGAATGGAGGAGAAGGGATTGAGACATGGCCATCCCCCCTGGGGGGTGATTTCTCACTTTCTGTCTCTTTGTCTCTCTCTTTTTGGTGAGCGCATGCGCCCTATCGCAAAAACCTCTCCAAAATAAATAAATAAATAAATAAATAAATAAATAAATAAGCAGCCCTTCTTAGTGGATTTATGTTTATTTTGAAGAGGATTTATCATTCTTTTCCCTGCTCAACCTTTGAATTTCAGGGTGAGTCCTGTCACTTTGCATAAGTACTAACAGCTATTGAGAATCTTTGTAAGTCAGAATTTACCTATTGAAGTCTGACCAGATTGTAGTGGATCATCTTTTTTTTTCTTTTTAGTTTAGTTTGTTTGTTTGTCTGTGCACTCAACAGAAAGAGAGCAAGAGAGAGAGAAAGAGAGGGGGAAAGTAAGGAATCACCCCCCATAATGTTGACATGCAGTGACAGAGTTTGATTTTTTTTTTTTTTTGATGTAAGACACATGCACTCACTAGAGAAAGAGAGAAAAGGAGAGAAGTCACCCCCTCAAGAAGACTGGCCTCACCACAATCCCTTCTCCATTCGCCTCTCAGGATTTTGAACATACCTGCAAATGTGCCCGGTGTGTTTTTCAAGCCATTCGCATCGAATACCTGAACTTCATAGTTGGTCATGTGGGATCCAGCTGCCTTAACCTCCATGCCACCTGCTGTCTCCACAATGGAAATATTTACAAAAAACTAAGAAGATAAGGGAGTCCCCATGTTCAGTTCACATGGTGCTCATTGTTGTGAATGTTATCACTTAGGCAGTGGAACAAACCTCAAGATCAGTGCACATTTCTGTATAATTCAAAGTTGATTTTCTGGAAAGACATGTGAAGCCCTGTCAAAGAAGGGGCTTCTGGGGGAACAAAGCCATTCTGAGAGTCGGCTTTGCAAATTAATTCAAACAGAATGCCTACTGAAAAGCACGCTAGTTTTAGGTGACGTCTCTCTACAGACTGGAAGAAGGAACTGGAAGCCTTCCAAATAGCAGACCATGAATGTGTGCTCCAGAAGAAGGGACAAGCAGTTCTGTATAAAGGCAGAAAAGGCTAGGGAGGGACCAGAAGGTGGCATGGCGGTTGAGGTGCTGGATACTCCCACATGGCTGACCACAGTTCAAGTCCTGGATCTGGTGGCTTGCTTTCTTGCTTTCTCTCTCTCTCTCTCCCTCTGTCTTTCTTTCTCTCTCTGGTCAAATTACAATTCTCTTGGGGTTCTTTTTCCTTTTGGTGAGAGGTTTACGTCATTCGATTTAACATCCTTGGGCTGGTGAAGTGAGTAACCTCTGTGTGAGTCGGGGCACTGCTGGTGGCCACAGTAACATGCACCAGGATGTTGCCATTGAAGCTGAAGGAAGCAGATTCCAAGCCGTCCTTCTATGCCATCCAGGCCCTCATGGCCGTCTTCTTTGAGACTGATACATGCCCAGCCTATCACGGCAAGTGCGCCGACACAGACCACTCCTGGGGTGGTAGAGATCTGCGCCGCCTTTCTGTTACTGTTTCCTGGGGCCTAGTCAGACCCAGGATTGTCTTCTACTCTAATACCCTGATATATATATATATATATATATACACACACACACATACATTTATATATGATACATGTATATAGAGTGTATGTGGCCTAAGAACACACAGTAATGGTAGGGCCAAGTTTTCTTTTTTCCCAATATTACGTTGGTCTATTTTTATTTTTTTTGAGAGGTTTTTGCCATAGGGTGTGTGTGCTCACCAGAAAGACAGACAGAGACAGAGAGATAGAAAGCGAGAAATCACCCCCAGGGGAGATGGCCACACCGCAATCCCTTCTCCTCCATTCTCCTCTCAGGATCTTGGGCACACACGCACACATGCCTGGTGTGAGTTTAAGTCACCAGGTCCAGGACTCAAACTGTAGTTGACTACCTGGGAGTCCAGCGACATAGCCATTACGCCAACTGCTGTTCCCTGAATATTATGTTGCTCTTAAACTGAGTTTTTTTCTTTTCTACTTTTTTAAAGAGAGATTTTTGTGATAGGGCACATGCACTTGCCTGGGAGACAGAGACAGATCACAGAAAGCAAGAAATCACCCCCCAGGGAGATGGCCACGCTACAACCCCTTCTCCATTCTCCTCTTGGGATCTTTGGCACATACGATGCCCAGTGTGAGCTTTTCTTTTCTTTCTTTTTTTTTTTTTTGGAGAGGTTTTTGATATAGGGCTTGTGTGCTTGCCAGAAAGACATAGAGAGACAGAGAGACAGAAAGCAAGAAATCACCTCCCAGGGGGCATGGCCACGCCACAATCCCTTTTCCTCCATTCTCCTCTCAGGATCTTGGGCACGCATGCACATGCGCCCGCCCTGAGTTTAAGCCATCAGGTCCAGGACTCCATGCAGTTGGCCATATGGGGTCCAGCTGCCTTAACCACCATGCCACCGCTGGCCCCCCAGGAAATACTTTTGAATGTCTTTTTAGTGGCTCTTGAAACAAACTGCAATGCAGTGTCCTGACCAGAGAAAGAACCTTGTTCACCACAGGGAAGACCAAAACGAGATGATGCAGCACAAACTCTGGACCAGAGTCCTTTCAGTTCACAGGCCAAACAGTGAGTTGGACTGAGCCCCTTTCTTCCCATCCACACCATTAAGGGTTCACATATCATTGTTTAGGGTTTATTTAGCCTCATGTGGCAGAGGGACCAGCACAGGGGACTTCCCAAGATAACCCAATCATTTTTGAGCATCACTTTCCCTGTCAGTAAAGTCAAGACATTAGACTAGCTGCGGAAGGCCCGAGTTGCTTGGATATGCTAAGGATCTAGGACATGGGCTGAATGGAAGCGTGCACTGAACTCCCAGGGATGGTCCCCAGGAGTGTGCAGTGTGGGGAGCAGCTTAGCTAGGTGGAGTCTCACTGTTAGGAGTTTCTTGGGCCGGCTCACAGGAGGCCTCTCTAGCTTTTCTCCCTCCTGGCAAGACAACTGTGGCATATGTCACAGGCTTGGAGCAAGGCAGGACCTTAGGAGGCAAAGGGGGCAAAGAGGATGGGGCTGGGGATGCAGGTTGCCCTGATGGGGAGTCAAGAGGTAGGCCGGCGTAGGTGGTATTGTCGAAGGAAGGCGGCGAGTCAAGCCTAACATAAGGTACATCCGATGGCGGTCCAGTAGCCAGTGCAGAATCACCGGTGGGGTGGACCGCTGAAGAGGGGTCCTGTAACAAACACAGGCAGGTCAGGCAGAGAGAATGCCTCCCTCTGCCCCAGCTCCCTTGGGTGGACCTGGGAACACACGGGATGTCTCTCAAGTCCTGAGTATGTCAGTGAGCAAGAGGGCTTCGCGCTGAAGATTTCCAGCCCCCAAGTTTCTCCCTGAGTCTGGGAAGGTAGGAGACCACGGGAGGCCATTAAGTGCCAAGTTTTCATCTTTCAGGAAGAGAATTTAGACCTTGCCTGGGACCCAGTCTTTTCTCCATCCCACCCTTTGGGACGTCTTGGTGAGCATGACAAATGGAGGGTTTGGGGAATTTGGCTAAGGGCCTTCAGAACCTCTTACCGTGCTGCTCTGGAATCGGCCACAGACAGCAAGCCTGTTCCCTAGGAGGACAGAGCAGCATAGTCTGCTTCCAGGGCTGGCACAGAGCCCACCTCACTCTCTGCAGAAGCTTCTGCAACCTCTTTCCTAGGGAAGACTCATCTTCCCCCTCCCACCAGCAAACCTTCACCACTCCTATCTCCCAGTCCCCACCCACTCACTGCTTCCCAGCTCCCTCCAACCTGCCTCACAATCATCTACCCCCAAAAGCCTTTCCCTTACTCCCTCCACTGCACCCTTTCCAGTCCCTAGCTTCCTCCAGGCCTCTTCTCACAGAATCCCTCCCCTCCCCTCCATCCTTGAGCCATGAGAATTCTAGAGTAAGGAGGCCTTGACTAAAGCCCAGAAAAGTTCATTGTAAGGAGAACAGACCTGGAGTCCCGGCCTTATCTGCAAAACTGGCTGATACGGGGCAGAGATAAGCAGACAGGTACCTACCTTTCCTTTTGGCCATCACAGCAAACAGCACCACTGCCACCGCCAGCAGGCCCAACAGGACCACAGCACCCCAGATCAAGGGAATGCTGAGGGACAGAAAGGATTAGGATTAGCCCGCATGCTGCAGGAAGCCTCCAGCCAGGACCCAAAGGCCAGGGGCAGAGGGCCACGTTCTTGGTGAAGCACGGTTAGGAGAAGAGATGGGGTGGAATGAGAAGGCCAGACTCAGGCAGGGCCAAAGGCAGACACATTGTCAGGGTTTCCTGGCCAAAGATCCACCAGGATGCAGAGGCCGTTGCTAACCAGGATGGAGAGGTCTCTGTCTGCCCAGAAGTTCCCCAGGAATGGAAGGGACTCTAAGTGTCCCTCTTTGATTTAGCCGGCAGCCCTAAACAAGTCAAATCTTCACCAATGCCATCCTCCTGACCACCCAAACCCAGGCTTGCCAGTACCTCTTCTCATCCTGGCCAGGTTCCAAAGGACTGGCACTGCCCACAGTGTCCGACGAGGGGTCTTCAGCCTGACTGCCAGTCTTATAGTCCTTCTCTGCCTCCTCTGTCAGGCCAGGAGCTGAGTCAGAGGGAAACATGAGCATGTAGCCATTGTGGGCAGTGCCAATGGCCTGCCGTGGGCTGAGGGTGGGGATGGAGAGCCAAGCAGGGAGGCACTTCCGGAGGAAGGTGCAAAGATGAGGTGGGGGCTGCTCATTCTGCGGGTCAGGGAATGGCCCCACCTGTGTATGTCTCTACCTGGTTGTGAATGAACCCACTTTCTCCTCTACCGCCAGCTCCCACCCTTCCCCCCGCACTTCTTCACCTGTTCCACCCATAGCCCCTGCCTCGCCTGGCTGCTTGGACTGTGCAGAAGCACCCACTGGGTAATCTGTGCCCACCACCTGTTCTCATTCCAGAGGAGGTCTCTGTAGCTCTCAACCTCGGGGGTGACTCACTGCTGGCTCTCCCAGGTCTCCAGCAGGCCCTGGGAATACTCTGCTAAACCCCACACACCTGCAGCCCTGAGGGCCGACCTACAGGCTGCTTGACCCCATCCAGAGCTCTGCCCTCAGGATTTAAGGAACTCAGCGTAAAATGATGCAACACCAGAACTGACCCTCACTGGGCCCTCCTGGGACCCTGAGATGCAGTTTTGTGGCAAGGCTCTGTCATCCCAACATCCTGCTTTACTTCTGGCTGTAGGGCTCAGGGTTGCGCTCTCTTGAACTGAGAATAAGTCTTGGGAATCTGGCCAGTCCTTCCAGACCACCTGGGATGGAGACCTGGCCCTGTTTCTGAGTCACCCTTCCTACTCCCATCCATGCCATACTAGGAAGTGGGGGTGCTGTGGCCCTACTCTTGCCCACCTGGTACCTCTTAGGCTGCCTTGGACTACCACCTTCCCTTGAAGCTAAGTACCAGCCTGAGCTGGGAGTCAGATCCTCCCTGGATTCCCAGCCATGCCTGATCTTTCCGCCTGTCTAGTCTCCCACCTGCCTGATCTTCCGTCCTCTAAGCCCCTGCCCCACTGCCGCCTGGGACCATGGCAGGTACCTGCCTCCCTGCCCCTCTTCCCAGAGATGCTCACTGCAAGTTGTCTTTCAGAGAATTAAAACTCAGTTAGTAGGGGGAGGGGGCAGTAGGTGACGTGGTAGTTAAGGGCACTGGACTCCCTCGTGGTCGACCGTGGTTTGAAACCTAGACCTGGCAGTTTGCTTTCTCACTTTTCACCTCTCTCACTCTGTCCCTCTCTAGTTAAATTAAAAATAAATGAATGAAGTTAAAAATAAAATAATTCTTAGTGGGATCAGCAGGTAGCATAGTGGATACCTATCATGGCTGACTGGATACCTATCATGACTACCAGAGTTCAAGTTATGGATCCAGTGGCTTGAAAATCACACCACGGGGGCCAGAGCAGGTGGTGTGGTGGCTAAAGGGGCTAGACTCCCACATGGGTGACAGAGGTTCAAGAACCAGATTGGCAGTTTGCTTTCTCACTTTCCCTCTCTCTGTCTCTTTCTCTCTCACTTGCTCTGTCCCTCTCAGGTCAGATTAAACTAAGAAAATAAATAATAAAGATAAATTTTTTAAAATTCTTTAGAGAAAAAAAAGAAAAAAGCATCTCACACCAGGTATGTGTGTGTGTGCCCAAGATCCCAAGAGGAGAATGGAAGAATGGATGGAGAAGGGATTGCTGTGTGACCATCCCCCAGGGGGCAATTTGTCACTTCCTCACTGTTTCTGTCTCTCTCCCGGGAGCACACACACCCTATGGCATAAACCTCTTTAAAAAAAGAAAAACTGAGCTAAAGAATAACTAGGGCTAACCAGAGTATTTTTGGAATATGAAACAAAAATTACTCAGAATAAGAGAATTCGTATAACATCTTAGCCCACCTTATTTAGGGGGGAAAAACTAAGAGAGGGAAAATACTTTTCATAATTTTATTTGGGGATTGAGTACAAATATTTAAGAAAAGAAAAACCTAAAAAAAAAATATCAGTATACATAAGAAAAAAAAAAAAGCAGCTTTTGAAAATGGTCATTAGTTGGGACCAGCAGTTGGCTATGTCGCTGGACTCCCACGTAGTCGACTGCAGTTTGAGTCCCAGACCCAGTGGCTTAAACTCATGCCGGGCACGTGTGCGTGCGTGCCCAAGATCCCAGGAGGAGAATAGAGGAGAAGGGATGGCGGTGTGGCCTTCCCCACCAGGGAGTGATTTCTCACTTTCTGTCTTTCTGTATCTCTCTGTGTCTTTCTGGAGAGTGCACACGCCCTATAGCAAAAACCTCTCAAAAAAAAAAAAAAAGAAAGAAAGAAAGAAAGAAAGAAAGAAAGAAAGAAAGAAAGAAAGAAAGAAAGAAAGAAAAAGAAAAGAAAATGGTCATGTAGTAGCTGAACATTTTACCTTCGGAACAGGTTTTTATAACCTTTTTTATAACTTATTTTTCTAAAAAATTTTTAAACATATTTTAATGTTTTGAAGTTCTTTTTTTTTTTCTTTTTTTTCTTTGTTTTTATTTCTGGCATGTGCTTGCCAGAAAGAGAGAGAAGAGAAAGTACCCCCCAGTGTGGTACAGTCATGCCACAGTCTCTGTCCCTCTGTTCCTCCTTCTGTCAGGATTCTGAAAATACACAGACGCGCAAATGTGCACGCCCAGCATGGTTTTCAAACTGCCAGGGCTAGGACTCAAACCGTGGTCAGCCATACAGAATGTACTACGGAGCCAATCCCCCCAATTTTTCTTTTAATAAGTGCTTAGACACTAGAAAGTTGTGGGCTGTGAAACACTTCACCTGTAAAGTGTTTTCTGTAATGAAGACAGAGTTAAGGATATAGGCTTAAATGTGATGATGGAAGTCTGCTTTTTCCTATTGTTCAAAATCCTTTCCAGATGGCCTAGAGGGAGTCACACCCACAAACATTAACAGACCATTTTGATCCATTGGTAACAGAAGTCTTCCTACATCCTGTCCCTGGCATAGTATCTTTGTGATGTGTATTAAACCTCCTTATCTCCGTTAAAGTACTTTAACTGTAAACCCACCTGTAACCAACAAGACCCCCTACACACACATGCCCTGCCTTTTTGGGCCAGACCAATGAAAAAACTCTTCACTAAATTCCAAACCTTGTCTCTTGCTCTCAAAATCAAATAAAAGGAACCCCTGTAACTGTTCACCCCGGAGAAAGGCATGTTTGCTTCCTCTCCGGGCCTAAGTCACTCATATTCTACTTAGAAATAAATCGCATTGTTATTTTTATAGAGTTGGTAATTCCTGTAGACAAAAGTTATGGACACCTTTTACATTTTTAAAACTGAATGACAGGCCCCAGCAGGTGATGTGGTGATTAAAGTGCTAGACTCCTATGTGGCCAACCACAGTTTTAACCTTGGGCCCAGCAACTTGAAAATCACACCAGGCACCTGTGTATGCATGCCCCAAAATCCTAAAAGGAGAATGGAGAAGGGATTGCAGTGTGGCCATCTAAGAGATGATTTCTCACTTTCCCTCTCTCTCTCTCTCCAGTAAAGCACATGTCTTACGGAAAAAAATCTAAAAAACAAAACAAAATAAAACAAAGCAGGGGTCAGCAGGTGGTATGGTGGTTAAGTCGTTGGACTCCGACATGGCTGACCACAGTTTGAGTCCTGGACCTGGTGGTTTGCTTTCTTATTTTCCCTCTCTCTGTGTTCTCTCTGGTCAAATTAAAATAAATGAATGAGTAAATAAAATTAAGTAAATAATTCTTTTAAAACAAACAAACACAAAAAAGTACAACTGAATGAGTCAAATTGGAATCCCAGACCCTGTAGCTTGAAAAACATGGCCAGATACATGTGCAAGTGTGCCTAAATCCAGAAAGGAGAATGAAGAAGGGATTTCAGCAGGGACATCCCTCCTGGGGGTGATTTCTGACTACCCCACCATCGCCCTACCCCCATCTTTATCTGGCAAGTGCACTCACCTCACCCTATAGCAAATTTAAAAAAAAAAACAATGAATTAGTTTAGACATTGGATGAATCTTTTCTGTAGGTGAGACATAGGAGATGCTCAGTGAAGACTTATAAAACTAATTAAGAAGACAGCATGGAGTATGTTGAAAATGCCGGTGATCCCAAAGCCACGGGGTAGGAAAGGAGCACATGCCTTCCTGTAGGGAAGCCCACTTGTGTGGGAGGGGGAAGGGGATCCGGTTCAGCTCATTTATCTCACGCCTCACCACGAGCTTGGTTTCCGTTCCCTGGAGAACTGTCAAGAGGTTATCTGCTCCCAAGGCCTTCCTCCCAGGGGCCCTGGCCCCAGCAAAGACCCAAGAGCCCTGGCAACTGATGGGGGTGGGAAGGGCAGGCCCCAGGGTGGTGGCTGACCTAAGACAACTCACCTGGGGTGAGCACGTCCAGAGAGACTCTGTGCAAGGTCTGGGGCCCCGCTGCTCCCTCCACCACGCAGCCGTACTCCCCAGCGTCCTCCTCCTGCAGGGTAATCATTTCCACCTGCAGCAGGCCCCCACCCAGGTCGGTGAGAAACGTGCGCTGGTTCCGTGGGGCGTTGCGATCCACAGCTGATGACACCAGAGGCTGACACCTCTCCTGCAAGAACCGGCACCACACTTTCCGAGCCTTGACGTCCTGGAGCCGGTAATGGCACTGCACCAGAATGGAGCTCCCTACGGGGGCCTGCAGCACCTCAGGGAAGCTTCCTACAGAGCCCTGACCTAGGGAAGGAAGGGAATCTTGGGCAGGAGCTGGGGGCAGATCCCAGCCCACCCACTGGCATAGGACACCAGGACCCACCGATGTGGGTGTGGCATCCACAATAACACACCAATTACCTCTGGGCATGGGGTAGAGGGTGAGTATTTCAGCTGCTTCTGAATCTTACCTGCTAGTCCCAGGAACAGCAGCAGAAGACTGAGACCCATGGCTGGACAGGGAGAGGTCAGCTCTGGGGTCTGCCTGGGCACTGACACAGCACTCCCCCAGAGCAGGAAATGCCTGCCTCAGTCACATGGGGCTCTCAGTGACCATGGGTGGGAATCAGGGACTAGGGGGGTACCTCCCGGGGTGGGGGAAGGGAGCCCTTCTACACCCTGGCTGATTAGAGGGCTCAGGAACTGACCCTGAGGGGTACGGGGTGGTGGTGGGGGGCAGCTAAAAGGCAATTAGAGAATAAGAAAAAGAGTAAAGGGAATCTTCTGAGTCCTATAGACATAGGATTTGAGGATACAGAGCTATAAAGGAGGGAGGTAAATTAACCTATGCATGGTCCAAGGTCATTTTATTTCTAAATCATTTATGGGTGTGCCGCTACACCCAAGCTCTCAATTATTGTTCTTAACACTCTAGACCCTTTCCACCTGGATCCATGTTCTTCAGTGTATTTTTTCATGATTTCTTTCCTTTTTTTATGGTTTGTTATTTACATTCGGTCATTGTACATCTTGGTAGCACGCAATATGTTGTTCAAGGTATGCATGTGGTACGTGACAATAAGTCAAGGACATTACTGTAAACATCATTCTCAACAGAGAACTTTACAATCTTGTATCTGATAAATTTTTTCCCTGATGCCTTCACACCCACTACTACCCACTCCTCTCCCAAACAGTTTCTGATATCTACACTTCTCTCTACTATTATATATTTGAATCTTTCCATTTATTCCATAAAGTGCAGGCACTTGGTGTATACTGAGTGGGGATATACAGTGTTTGTCTTTCATAATGATTTACTTCTTTTATAATTATTGAGTGGTCAGAAAAGTCATGATTTTTTTTCTGTTTTTCTATGAAGAAATGCGTTGTGACTTTTCTGACGACCCAATACTCCCCTATATTCTCCATCCCCACCATCACCCCCACTTCCATTTTCCTGCAACTCCTTAATTAGTTAAATACTGGATCTCATGATTTCATATATTTTCTTGCTCGTTTTCCATCTTTCTGTCCTTTTTTGTTTTGTTTTGTTTTGTTTTAGTTTTGTCAAAGACAGAGGGAAAGTGAGACATCACACCCCTCCTTCACTGGAGTTTATAGTTCGGGGTAAAGACCTCTCTCTTTCTCTCTCTCTCTCTCTCTCCAGAAGGAAAATGAGCCAATGAGCCAAAGACTCTATATAAACCCCATGTTTCATAATGTAGGGGCTCTTCTCTTTGATACAAATCCACTGCCGGTGAGAGTCTGGTCCTCATTCATATCACCCCAAGGAACTGTTTTCCGGTAAACCAGATAGCATGTGAGTAATTAGCCATGTGACCTCAATCACTGGGAAGAGCACCAATGGTCAGAGAGACAAGGGCTGCTGATGAAGGTGAGTAGAAGGGGTACATTATCTTGATCTAGATGGTAAGACCTAGAAAAGAGATTGGAAAACCCATCCTTGCTTGCTCCTCTCCCCTCCCTCCTTTTCCCTCTCTCTCCTTCCATCGTTTGGGAGTAAGAGAGTTGAGAATAGGAAACAGGGAGTAGGAACCTGAAAAGCTGGCTAGTGTGTTACGCTGAGCCTACTGGAAGTGCGTACTAGGGTGGCCACCCACTTGTTTACCTGAAACTAATTGGTTTCCTGGGATGTGAGATTTGCAATACTAAAGCTGGGAAAATCCTGGGTTACTGTTGGGTTCTGAAACAGAGGTGACCAGATAGGATCCTTGTCTCAAGGAGGTGTCATGTGGCTGGGCATAAGAGGGAGGAAACCAGTCTCTTTTGAGGACCTACTACTCATCAGACACCTGACAGATACTCGTACAAATGTTATTTATTTTAATCTCACATAAACCATGCATGGTAAGGTTATTATTATCATTATTATTTTGCTTTGTTCTGTTTATTTATTTACTTATTTTTACCTCAGGTGAGGTTCTGAAGATCAGATTGTCAGGTTGAAGAACTTGCTTACAGTGTCTTAGTAGGAGACAGCATAGAAATTTGAGAGCAAATGATCTCAACCCCCCTTCAATCCAGTGTGCCTTCTGGAGAGTTAAAGGTAGGGTAGCTCAATGGTGATTCTAATCCAGAGGTGGATGTCTCTGGCATGCAGAGCAGGAAAGAGAGAAGGCCAAACTCCCAAGAGGAGGAAAACTTGATCCTGGCCAAGGGCTAATGGCATCCACCATACTCAACAGCCAGGCACACCCCAGGGAGCCTCCCATGCCCATCTCATCAGCATTGTGTCTGAGATGCAAATAGGGCTTAGTTTGGGCTCTTGGCACCTTGATTTGTCCTGGATCTGTGAGAAAGAAAAAAACTGCCTTCAGACACAATAAAGTTTAATGTGTCTGAGTCAAGGGGGCCAAAGAAGCACAGCTCAGACTGGCTGCCAAGTGGGAGCCAGTGGGGCAGCCTGAATGGGAGGCACACAAGAGAGGACTGGGGCATGGCTGAGAGTGGGACTGATGAATTCACATGAGGCTGAACATGAGGCCTGTGTCAAGGGCACCTTCCCAGATACAAAACCCCAAGTGCCCAAGCCTGGCAGACAGCAAAGCAGCCTCGTGTGGCCATGACCAGAGGGGACTCATGCCTTCCACCTCTCTGAGGGCCAGTCCAGAGAGCCTAAAATGTGGCTGACTTCTTACACTTACTCTTCCCTGCAGTTCACCCCGGCTTTCCCCTCACTGCCGGCCAGGGTGGTGTGTGGGTTGAAGAGAGAGATGAGGTTCCATGGGCTACCCTGGCTGTTCTGCCCCAAAGACGATTCCCCTGATATCCTCATGGCTTATTTCCTCATCTCATCATTCTCAACAGAGAACTTCACAGTCTCGTGTCTGATAAGCAGTGCTTCCCACATGGTACCATCGACTACACTGTTTAAAACTGCACCATCTCCCATTGCTCTGCGCTCTTCCCCTGCTTCGTGTTCCCGCGTTCAGCACCTTTTTCCTTCTACCATGCTGTTGTATTTACTTGTGCTGATCATCAGTCTCTCCCTCCTCCCATGAGAAAATGGCTCCATGTGGGCAGAACTCTGCCTGTTCTATTCACGGTTGTATCTTCAAGGCCCAGAACAGTACCCAGCTCAGACTAGATGCTCAGAAAGTTCACGGAATGAATGAGTAGGACTGAGCTAGAGAGAAAGGCACCTGAAATGCAAGTGAAATTTGGGTTTCCAGGCTCCACCAGCACCTTCGGTAAGTCCCTTCCCCCTTTGATTCCCAGTGCCCTTCCCCTACGATGAGTTCCTGGGTTTGATATGCTCTGTTCTATGACTCATGCCCTGGTCATTTCTCTGGAGAAGTAGCGTGATGAAAGCAAAGCTCTAAGGAGGTGAATCGACACGTCAGCTGGAAGCTGGGCCTTCAGGAGGGGGCAGGCACAAGAGGCACTGGGGCAGAGTGGCCAGCAACAATCCAGGAGAAGCTGATGGAGATGGTAACACAGACGGTGGAGAGGGGAGAAGACTAGAGGCCAGAGAAATTCCAGAGAAGGAGGTGGGACTTGGTGACTAGATCTAGGGCAGAGAGGAAGGAGAAGACTGACTGGCCAGGTTGGAGCCTGTGAGAATGGAAGAATGTGGTAGTGTAAGTGCCAGAGTCCTGAGGGGCCAGATCTTTTATCTTTTCCTCATCCAGATGTACTCTCCTAGTCTGGTAGTAAAAGAGAAGACCCCCATAATGCACCAAACCATCCACTTAAACATGAGTCTTGGATTTATTTGTGAGAGCATTTTATGTCCAGTGTCTAGAAGTTGACAGGTGCCCCACCCCCACCTTCCCCCATGCAAATGCCTGCTTCCAGGGGCCCAGGAGGCAGGGTGCAGGCAGAGTGGCTTCTTGCCGGAGCAGAACCAGGAATCTGGTGGCCAAGGGCAAATGTGCAGGTCAGGTGGCCTCTGGCTGAACCTCCTCCAGGCATCTCCTCCCATCAGGAGTCCCCTTCTCTCAGGCTTCTCTCAGCCCTGTAACAGACTGAGTACTCATGCTGATCCCCTCGACCCTCCTCTCACCCCTGCCTGGTTCACCCCAGACTTCACCAGACTTTCCCAACTCACCTGTCAGGGTCTGGAGCGGGTGTCCCGGCTCTTGGCCATGGCCCAGTCCACTGTCCAGAGGTGTCCTCTGCTTCTGTCCATGCCAGGCCATCGCCCAGAGGGTGCTGGCTGCTAGAAGCTTGCCAAGGAAGATGCAGACCAGGAGGAAAAGGACTGAAGTGGGTGGGGAGGGAGTCTGTCCTTCTGAGAGTTTCCTTGGAGAGACAAGGAGGGTGGACGGGAGCTTTATGGTAACTCGTAGACCAGGATCTGCCCTCTGAGAAGGAGCAGGGAGAAACCAGGAGTTTCTAGGGTCAGGGTACCTCCCCACCCATCACCATCCCTGGGATGGGGCTCTGCAGACTTGGGAGCCTGTGATCAGGAGACACATGTTCTAGGCATAGATCTGTCCCTAACCTGCTGAGTGCATTTCAGCACACCGCCTTCCCTCGCTGAGCAGTTCGCTGACATACAGGACGATCTGCTATGGGTTGCGTGTGTGTGTGGCCTCACTGATTATAGTCAAAGTATTTAAACATCAGTACACAAGCATGGGCCCGTCAACCGATTCTGGGGCCAGCCGGTGGCATGGTGGGTCAGGCAGTTGGAGCCTATGTGGCCAACTGCTGTTCAAGTTCTAGACCTGGTGGCATGCGCATATATGTTCAAAATCCCAAAAAGAGGGTGAGATGAAGGGAAAGGAATTGTGGCATGATCATTTCCCATGAGGGGCCTCTCATTCTTTCTCCTTTTCTCCTGCTGTCTCTCTCTGGCAACCACACATGTCCTCTGACAAATTACAAAAAACAAAGAACTGATTCTGATCATACCAAAGGGCCGGGATCTGGGAGCCCAGTTTTGAAAATATTGAAATGTCATTGTTGCTGGATTGTGGGGATCCCTGGGGGCTGCAGGAGTAGGGGCAGGAGTCTTGGGACAGCAGCTCTTTTTTGTTGTTGTTGTTGTTTTTTTTTGTTTTTGTTTTTGTTTTTGTTTTTTTTTTTAGAGGTTTGTGCTATAGGGCACGTGCACTTGCCAGAAAGACAGAGAGAGACAGAAAGCAAAAAATCACCCCCAGAGAGGCAGGGTAAGGATGGCCATGCTGCAATCCCTTCTCCTCCATTCTCCTCTCAGGATCTTGGGCACGCATGCGCACATGCCCGGCGTGAGTTTATACCACTGGGTCTGGGACTCAAACCGCGGTCAACTACATGAGAGTCCATCGACGTAGCCCTTAAGCCAACTGCTGGTCCCAGGACAGCAACTCTTCACAAACTGTTATAGATGTCATTATCTCAACAATATACAGTCCCACCAATACACAGCTAGTTGGAGGGGTGTTTAGATAAGACCACCTCCAGACCCCTTCAGGCTCTAATTGCCTTGGGATTTGCAGGTCCAGGACCCCTGTCCTCTACCTCATGCTGCATTCTGTGGGGTGAACTCCACCCAGGAGTCTTAGGAGATATTCTTCTCAGTACCTGGAGATGCTGTGCTCCACTTGAACATCCTTGAAGCTCTCAGACTCCTCGGAGCCCCAGAGATCTCCAGCATCCTGGTCATCCAGAGGGTCTGAGGAAGGCAGAGATATGAGCTTCCAGCCCCCTCCTCTTTGCCCTGATGGGGAGAACCTCTGCGGGTGAGTGAGGTTCCCAGCTCTGGTCCTATGGAGATCAAGTCATTACCCTCTTGAGCCTCAGTTTCTTCATCTATAAAGTGGGGCAATTAGAAACAGTCCCTGAATAACAGGGTTGTGAGGATTCAGAGTTCCTCTGTATAACCTTGACTTCACACAGGGACTGTGAAGAGCAAACAGAATAGGAAGGGACTGGCAATCTGTGCCAATTTCCAGGTCGTCTACACAAGCTACGGGCTGCTATTACATTATTGTGTTCCTGCCACCCTCTGGGGAGTTGACTGAGCCTTAGATGCTGAAAGAGCTGAAAATGCACATCTCAGTCCCTTCCCTCCCTCAGAAAAGACTGGAAGTGGGGTCTGTGTACAGGACTGGGGGTCTCTCGGGTCTCCCCAGCTTCTCCAGCTTTGGAAAATATTGTGCTCTACTCTCATTCCCAAGAAAGGCCATACTGGAGAGAGGAGGTGGGAAAGGGGAGTGTCAGAAAAGAAATTTGAAGCTGGGCCTGGAGCACATGCCTGTAGTCCCAGATAACTTGGAGCTGAGGCAGGAAGATGGCAAGTTTGAGGCCAGCCTGGGCTGCATAACGAGACCCTGTGTCTAACAGAAGGGAGGAAGAAAGGAAGGGAGGGAACGCAGGAAAGGAAGGAGGGAGAAAGGAAGGGAGGAAGGGGGCCAGGGGAGAGGAAAGGAAGGAAAGGGATCTGTAACCCCAGATTTTTTTTTTTTTGAGAGGTTTTTGCTATAGGGAGCGTGTGCTCACCAGACAGAGAGACAGAGAGATAGAAAGCAAGAAATCACCCCCCAGGGGGGATGGCCACGCTGCAATCCCTTCTCCTCCATTCTCCTCTCGGGATCTTGGGCACACACGCACACGCGCCCGGCATGAGTTTTTTAAGCCACCGGGTCCGGAACGTGAACTGCAGTCGACTACGTGGGAGTCCAGCGACATAGCCATTACACTAACTGCTGGTCCCGTGTAACCCCAGATTTATTCTTTGGCATGCCGTCGTGTTTGGGAGATGGGCAGAAGGCTTCCCTGGGGATACTTCCTGTGTTAAGCCCCAGGGTGGGAAGGAGCCGCATGGCCTTTCCTCCTCAAGCCTAGACTGAGGATCTCAAGTCGGTTCAGCTGCAGGTGCCTGGTGTAGGGTATCGCTTTCTCCTGCACCCCCAAGCACTCATGGAGCCTGTGGTGCCAGTAGGACAAACACCATCATCCTCATTTAAAGATGAAAAGCCGGAGGCCCAGAGATGTGCGGACACAGCCCAGCACAAGCAAGCGTTTCTTTCTAGGGGCGTTTTCCTGCACCGGGCTGGTGGCGCATTTACGTTGGTAGGTCTATTGGTTGGTTGCCAAGGGAATGAATTAGTCTTCTCCTACGCCTAAGGGCCACCGATAGTGTCCACTAACAAGATGTCAAATGGGCTAAACCGTTTGGGAAGCAGGGACAAGCTGGCTCAGATGGAGCCTTGGTGTGATCTAGAGAAATGCACCCTTCCTGCTGGTGATGCGGTCATGCGCCAGGAGCCCAGTCCAGTGAGAGGAGTCCAGGCTGGATTTTGGTCCCTTGCGCAGTAAGTAACCTGCACAACTGCCCCTGGTGGCCTTAAGTGGGGAGCAGGAGGGATGAGACCAGGGTCCTGATAGCCCAGATGATGGTCCTGCATACAGATGCCCAAAACATGAGGCCTGAACCAGCGGCAGACCAGAGACGCAGTCAGTCACCCACTCACCAGCCAAGACCTCTACCAGGACCTCCCTGAGTGTGTCGGTCTCCATGCCGTGAAGGCTCTGGCACTGGTAGAGGCCTGCGTCGTGAGCCTGAAGATTCCGCAGTGTGATGGTGAGGGTGCCACCCAGGATGTCGTCCGTGATGGCCGTGCTCCCATTCCGCCTCTTCAGGAAGGACAGCAGCCACAGGCTATGCGTGCTGACCACTGGCTGACAAGGGTCCTGCTCACCCAGCTGGCGGCACCAGACCTTGCGCCTCCCCCAGTGCTTCACCGAGTCGTAGGGGCAGGAGACCCGCAGGGACTGGCCCGCCACACCCCGGAGCACGGTGATGTTGGGGGGTGGGGCGGC